TGCAGTTATGTTAGCATCATTTGTAGTAGGCAAACAACGAAGAATTTTGTTAACCATTTTAGCGTTCGTTAGTTCCCTACCCAATGCATGTAAAGAAGTGACAATTAAAGTAAATCTTGTGTACATGTCAGAAATAGATTCATTGGATTTCATGCGAAATAATTCATAGTCGTGTAACAAGATGTTCATTCTAGATTGCTTTACTTCATTTCCCCTTCATAAGTAATGCAGAGTCTATCCCACATGCCATTTCCACTTTTACTAGTGGAAATCTGCATGTAATCTTTTGACTTAAGTGCATACAAGATATAGTTTAAATATTTTGCGTTAAGTTATGCTAAGTCACGTTATTCTATAGTCCAATCTACAAAGGGTGTTTCAACTCTAACACCATCAACTAATCTTGTTGGTTTTGTATACCATTCTTGAACTAAGATCCATATACAATAATCTAGTAACTATAAAAATATTGACATGCGTGTTTTTCAAAAATTAAAAGATATGTTGTCAAACAAAGGAGGTCTAATTATAGAGTAACCTTCTAGTGTGTTTCGATTTCTAAATGTAGCCATGCTCGTTAATCAAAAAGTAGTCTAAACTTATGATTTTGAAATGAAGCTCTGATACCACTTATTAATTCTATAATAGGTTATTAAACCTAAGTTAATATCCTAAGACTAACCAAGAGGGTGTATGAATTGATACTTTAAAAAATTACTTCTCTTGGATTTAAAAAGTAGAAACCAGTTAACGATTAGTAGTAAGTTAATTGAGATTTTGAAAGTAAAATTTTCAACCACACAATTAAAGTAACTTGCAGTGGAAAAAAATAAACGACACACAAATTTATAGTGGTTCGGTCAAACACGACCTACATCTACTTCCTAAAGACTCCCTTTTTAGATATTGCACTATTACCACAAGTGCCTCTCCTTTTACCCCCACAGTAAGGCGGAGAAGCCTTTGCAAAACTCTATTCTACCAATCCCCGGTGAGGCAGAGAACCATCGGCTGTTCACACTCTCCAAGTATAGGCAGAGAACCTTCGTCCTTTTATACCCTCCAAGTATAGATAGAGTACCTTTCGCTGTTCACGCTCTCTAAGTGTAGGCAGAGAACCTTCGTCCTTTCACACTTCTCAAGTATCGACAGAGAATCGTCATCTGTTCACACTTCCCAAGTATCGACAGAGAATCAGATCTTATCCGAAGATCCTCTCATGAGCAATCTAGAAAGACAAGAGGAAGAGTGATAACAAACAATTGCAAATAAATTCTTACCTTTGAGTAACCCTGTGAACCCTTAACACTCTACTTGCAAGAAATCTCACTCAAACACTCTCTCATACTCTCTTTTACAATTGCCTTGAAGACTCACGAAGACAAGATTTTTAAGATCAGTTTTTGTGGACCCTTTTGTATAAAAGACACAAAAAATCGTCTATAAAATTGAAATTTTCAATTGTGAACGTACATGATCGTCCTATATGATCGTATGTTCGTACGTATGAATAGGTCAAATATTATTATGTATGAACCCATTATGAATCAGAACAAAATTATTTCGTACCCGATCATCGTCCGTTATGAACTATGTTCGTCCCGTACGAACAAAAAAATTTTAAAGTTCATTTGTACTAAACGTCAAGAAAAAATGAATGAAACCAGAACCGAGATGTTCATCCCAATATGATTAAAAATATCATCCCATACGATCTTTGTATCTGGCTAAAATAGACGCCTTCTTCCTGGTACGATAAAAAATATCTTCCCGTATGATCTTTGTTTCTGAACAAAATAGAGGCCTTCATCCTGGTACAATAAAAAAATATCATCCTGTATGATCTTCGTTCGAGGAAAAAATAGAGGCCTTCATCCCAATACGATCAAAAATATCGTACGTACTAACTATACTTAGAAAATTTTTTGACATTTTTGTTCGTTCCATTTCTTGATGGGGAAAACAACTGACCAGATCATCCCGTACAAAGTAATATCGTACTATATGATCAATTTAAAAATATGAATTTTAAAACTCTCCCCCAATGTGTGTGTGTGCTCAGTTACTCAATTACAATCACACTATCTCAGACTCAATAAAATGAGAAATACAGACTTCAATTACAATATACTCTAAACTGATCTTGATTTGAAGTCTTCAACAATACGGAGTATAATTTCCCTGAAATGTTAGCACACACAAGAGCAAAATAATTATTCCAAAATATGTTAGGAGAAATAATAATCAAAACAATAATATTTGAAATCATAAAAAACATACAAGTTGAAAGCATATCAAATATGCAAAACTAAATAGCAACTATCTCAATATTTCTTAGCTCTTAAGCCTTTGATATTAAGTTTATAAAGTGGGATCTTAAAAAATCATAATTTTTGATATAATTACACTAATCGTATAGTATGATACTTAGATTGTGATATCTAATTAGTTCAATTATCATCTATGATTGTACAATATGATGTATGTTGTACAGCATGATTAGTTCAATCAAATCATAGATCATCCAAGATAAACTAAGGTTTGACTAGCACTTGAGTCTTGATTCTTTAATTCTACTTAGTGTATGTTATACCTGAAATGGTTAGTGACACATAAGAAAAATGCAATGTATAAAGAAGGAATAAGTAAATGATCATCAAATAATATTTGTAATTATTAAAATATAAGATCGAGCTTCTAAATTGCAACAGACTAAAGGAAGGTTAAAAAATTTTCGATGCCAACAAAGTTTTTATTCTCACTCTACTCTTTATGAAAAGAATGGGGTGGTTATGTCATATCACTCAAACCACCCAAGCATCTCCTACAATATGAAAATAACCCCTCCATTTGAAGATTTTTAATTTTAAATATAAATCAAGGGGATACACTTTTAAATTTCTTTTTTTTAATAAAAAACAATTAATGTTGATTTTTAAATTAAAAATTTGGATTGATGACATAAATAATTCATATCTTGAGCTTGGTAGTTGAGGGTCCCTTTGGTGAGGCTATTGATTTTGTGACTAATTTTTTCTTTTACACTTGTTTATTAAGCTTAGCCATAGTCTTCTTCTAATCCCCTATAATAATCCATGGCAAAGAATGTCCTTTGGAAGAATAAGAAGACATGCAGAGTTTTTCAAAGTTGACCTTAATATAGGTTTAAAAGTCCTAGTATCAAATTTTCCCTCTTTTTCCCCACCAAAAATCATTCTAAAAAAAAAAATCTCCATACATTTCTTCTTAGTATTTTTAACCATCTTACAAATGATAATTTCTAATAAATGAAGCCATATGCCGAATCGACTCAATTAAAACTTACATCAACTAATCTTGCTATGAGTAGTAATTCCCTAACTTAAAACCCTTAAGGAAATACCAGAACTCCAAATCAATACTTTTGACATTCCTACACCATGTACAAGTGTTCTCATTTCTATTATTCTCTCTATATGTAAACCTTAGTTGTCTCGATTCAAGTCTTTGAGATTTTGGCCATGATGGGTTCTCATGGTTTGGTTGACCCTACCCACTCCACCAACTCTCTATAGTCCTTCAAAATAATTCATAGAATTTCTAAGGGATATTAAAAGACTCCTATTACAAAAATAAGCCTTGGAATTTTAAGGCTATTTTAGAAGTTATTTGAATTCATACAATTGTTCTAATTTTGGTTCAAATGTTCACTACAAAGGCATCCACGGGCATGTGAAGAAGAAGGGAAATTCATGATGAGAGATTTCACTAGAGGCATTAACTGTACTGGCTACATGAGTCGAGAAGGCATCATCGGATGAAGGTGTGTGAAGGTAAGTAGAAATTTGCAATTGGAGCTTGCTAAGGGTAGGCTTTGATGGCATCGTGAGCATGTGAAGAGAAGAGAAGTCACATGTGGAGCTTGTTGGAGAATGCATCGTAGGACCATGGAAGGCCTATGAGATTGACTACATGTAAAAGAACTTGTTCAGGATCTTTCGTGGGACAAATGTGTGTGAAGAAGGATATGTTCAAATAAAGGTTTGTATCTAGGTTTGAAGTTATGAAATTGAACCAATTTGAATAAATGTTCGAATTCAAATCAATTTGATCTAGATTTGTTTGTAATAGACTTCGATAAACAATCCATGAATACAATATATGATTTTTTTATAATAAACATTCTAGTATATTTCTTCAAAAATTAAAAAAATAAATGGCGGGTACAATTGATTAATTATTTATATTATGAGTATATAAAATCAAAATGTTTAATATATGTTAATTTGTCAACCATAATATAATAAAAGTAATTATTAATAAAAAAATTTATGAAGTTAAATGAATAAAGAGTGCAGAGTTCAAAGATGCGCAGGTAAGAAGTTAGTTAAAGAACCATAAATTATACCATTACAAAATTTTTTTAAGATCAAGCTTCTATCTCATTATATGGGGCCAACAATATGAATTATTTCTCTTCAAATTCTCATTTTAATATAATAATTCTCTAATTTTTGTTCTAATTGAGTCTAATTTGAACACTGATAATGAATTTAAAATTATTTTAAATTTTTATTATTAAATTTTGAATTTAGTAAATTGAATTTACCCCTCAACTTAAAAAAAAGAAAAACATAGCGCAAGCTAACAACTGAGCACTTGTATGCCGTCCATCTGACAATCTACTACGACATTGCGATTCTATCTACTAGGAGATGCTCACACACCCACCGCTGCTTGTCCGGGTGGTGAAGAGCTGGTTGTGCAAAGTCTAGGTCCCTGGTTCGAATCTCTTGACAAATAGTAAAAGCCTTAAATATTGACCTGTATAAATTGATGTGGGTTACATACTAGATCAACCGGAATTTTCATTAACCTAAAACAATACTCCCTCAGTTTCTCGTAAAAAAAAAAAAATCTCACAATATTGCTCTGAATGGTTGGCAGATTTGGAAATCCGACGGCGAATGAACATAAAAGACCGCGTTGTGCTTCACTGGAGGGCGCTATTTCAATATGATGTAAGGCTAAATATGTCATTTCGTAATTTATATTTTTAATTATGGAAAAAATATTGGAGTGGCCCGGTGGAAAACCGAAGCCATAGTTGCTGGAGAAAGTGGAGAGAGAGAGAGAGTGGGCGGTTTCACTCGGCATCGGATCTCGGGGAAACTTGAGGTTCTTGCAATATAAATCATGATCGGTATACTGCGAGAATAAATTTCCACTTTTTGGGAAATCTGTGAAGTTTTGGCGTTTTGATAATTTGTGGGAATTGGATCGATCGGTGCCTGAAGGTGAAACTTAAAGCTGATCTCAACTTACCTTCCACTCTGTTTTTGTTTTCTATTGTGCTTTTCTTTTTGCATTTCATGATAAGTTGCTATCATATTGGCTCCTTTTCTATTTTCCTTATGTTTCTTAGTTTGCAAACTAGTCTCCTGATCCGTTGCCAGGTTTGATTTTGTCTATTGGTCAGGCTTGATTTTTGTTTACTGTGTCGGTAATGGGAGAAAAGAAAGCTTTGCTTGGATTGTTTCTTGCCCTAGCTTCATGAGACTTGGTCACTCTATATCTTACCGATTTTGTTTCTAACTGCTTAGGTGCTTGCTTTGCCTTGATAGTATGGGTGTGATCCTAGGGCCTCCGATTTGCCTCTTATTATTATTATTATTATTATTATTCTTTAATTGTTTTTTTTAATGCTCATGCTCACTACGCAGCAGGAAATAATGTCGATGCACTGAAATAAATTTGCTTTCTTGTTATTTTCCTTCTTACCCACTATTTCTACATGTTCTAGTACCTTAATTCATGATTAGTTATATTCATTTTAGGAAAATTTACATACATATCACTTTATAACATACTATTTACATATCTAACACCCTAAACTTTAATATTACATGCATACCTCTCTATCTTATTTTATACCACTTTTATTTCTTTCCTACCACTAATATATTTCATTTATATCACTCATATTTGACATGAAAAAGAACTATGAGTGTTATGTATGTAATATTAAAGTTTCATGTGTTAAATATGTAAATAGAGTAGTATAAGGTGGTATGTTTGTAACTCTCCCTTTATTTTAATGCAGTTATACCTCATATTGATAATTGATCCGTGTGCTAAGTACTGGATTTAAGGAACTATGCTTCTTCTTCTTCTTTTTTCCTTTTATTTTGTTTTCTGAAGTTTGGATGAACTTCTTATAGCACTGGTCATGAATAAGCATGATTTACTGCTTTCTTATCCTTCTTCTTATTCCTTTTTAAGCTTTGTTATTCAGGAGACATGCTTGGAGGTAATACTGCCAATCAAGTTTTTCCATTCTTCTTGGAGGATAATTCACTATATTATGATTCTAATGCATCCACGCAGCTCCGGTTGTTTGGGAATAGTAAGTAAAGTTTCTCAAGTGTTATTATTTTCATCTTCTTTTCTTAATTTTGTTTGTAGGTTTCCGGATTGATTTATGGAAGAATGACAAGCTTCATAAAAGTTATTTGATTTTGGAAGTTGGTGGAATTTGGTTATGGATTTTTTTTTTCTTTATGATGTGTCTGATATGTGATTATGTTCTGTTTATTTTGAGGTCAGAAGCAACACTTTGTAAAATGTTGGTGGTTCCATTGTGCTCTGAACTTCTATGTTTTGATTTTAGTTATCTGTTAAAATATTAATCAGAAGTGCCAGTTTTTTTTTTTTTTACAGAATCTGGTTCATTGAAAATGAGTCCGTTCATATATTTGAATATTTGTGTTGCATCTTATGGAAATTACTGTGAATACATAAGTTTATATGGGCTTAAGATTTGGATGCTTTTATATTCTAAAATAGTATCATATGCATGGCAGATACTTAGGGATTTAGATGCTCTAGTGCTTGAGATTAACCAAACTGCACAGAACATTCACAAAGGTGAATGTTAATGACTTATCCATAGAACAGGATTTCCTCTCTTCATTTTTCAATAAGGATGATATTTTTTTCAAATTTAGATTTATCAGTTAATATTTTGTTGCTTTTACAAGATAGTTTTTTTTCTCAATTTTTGTCTTAGCAAAATATTTCTTCAAGTTTGAATATTTGTTAGACATATTTGCCTTCTTTTTGCATTTTCACACTAGTTCAATGGGGAGTGTATATTGGCAACCAAATTAATGTGTCTTTATAGATATAGAGGGCGGAATTAGTTCATTGTTAGGGTTGCCTCCATTGAATTTAGTGGTCATTGTTTGAATCAAGAAATCAAGAAAACAACACGATGCAAGTTATCCTAACATCTAGGGTTTGCTAATACAAACTATGATGACATACACAAGGAGACACATAAAACTACAATTTGCAATCTACCAATTGTAATTTTAACAAAAAATAATATATTTTGATGCAAAATAAGAAACATATTTTATTTGCTTCAAATGATATGTTATAGGTAGCCAAAATTCAAAATTCTACAAAAAATTTGGGAGCTAATATAAAATTTCACAGTGATTAAGATTCATATAACAAAAAAGACATGTGACAAACTTAGCCAAATGTCGAACACTCTCGCAACCAATTACTAAAGGGGGGGGGGGAGAGAGAGAGAGAGAGAGAGAGAGAGAGAGAGAGAGAGAGAGAGAGAGAATCAAAATATTAATCTTGGCCTTATGTTTGTACAAGGAGAAGCACCCCCCTATATGTAGCCCATCCAACATTACACACATATGTAGGAATTTTAATTTTATTTATCCAATAACTAATTTTTACATTCATATGTGACCCTATTTATAAACCATTATGGGTATGTTTGGGGTAGTTTTCTTACTTATTTGCTTAGATTGCCGCCAAATATTCATTCAGCTACTGCTTTCTTCTTGCTTTTTAGAAATTCTTTGATGGGAAGCTACTTTTGAGAACTAGATTTGTTAGAGTGTGATAGCTTTAAGAAAGATGTTATTTGACTTAAAAAAATATTATACCCACAACAACTTTTAAAAGAGTTGATTTTTCCACAACTATTTTATGTTGGAACTTAAAACTAATTTTGGCCCATTGTTTTTTGGGTTTTTGTTGTTTAAATGGAGGTCACATTTTAGAATAATTTTTTAAAGAAGATGCTAGAAATTCATTCTAGAGTAATCCCTAAAAAAATTTAGAATAGTATTTATTGTCTTTTATGATAGTAGATAGAAAACTTAAAAGATGCTAGATGAGTGAAAAATGAGTGTGTTGATTCCTATTTTTAAGAGTAAAAGTGATGCACAAGATTGTGTGAATTATAGAGGAATTAAGTTAATGTGCCATACTTTAAAACTATTGGAGAAAGTTATGGAGCATAGGTTGTAGCGTGATACTAATGTTTCTCAAAATCAGTTAGGATTCATGCCGGGTAGGTCAATTATGGAAGCTATAAATTTATGAAGAGGTTTGATGGATAAATATAGAGAGAATAAGAAGGATCTACATTTGATATTTATTGATTTAAAGAAAAACATATGATAAAGTTTCAAGAGAAGTGCTTTGAAATGTTATAAAAAATAAAAGGGTTTAATAATTCTTATATTCAAGTCATTAAGGATATGTATGCAGGAGTTGGTATTTGTTTTCAAACACAAGGTGGTATGATCAAGTATTTTCCCATTTCAGTTGGATTTCATCAAGCATCAACCTTAAGCCCATGTCTTTTTGCTTTAGTCATCGATGTTCTCACTAGACATTTTCAAGAGGTTGTACTCTGTTGTATGCTTTTTGCTTATGATATTCTTCTTGTTGATGAGGCTAGAGAGGGAGTTGAAGGTAAACTTGAATTATGGAGGTCAACCTTAGAGTCTAAAGGCTTTCGTTTGAGTAGATCTAAAATTGAATATATGGAGTATAATTTTAATAATAATAGATCTAGTGGGGGGATTGTGACTTTGGGCGATCGAGTCATTAATAAAAGTACACGTTTTAGATATCTTGGGTCTATTGTTCAGAGTGATGGTGAAATAGATGGGGAATTTAAGTTGGATGGTTGAGGTGGAGAAATGCATCAGGCTTCTTGTGTTATAGAAAAATCCCTCTCAAACTTGAGGGAAAATTATATAAGATAGTGGTGAGACCTGTAATGCTTTATGGTGTTGAATGTTGGCCATTAAAAGAGAAGCATAATATAAAGTTAAGTGCTGAAGAGATGAGTATGTTCAGGTGGATGAGTGACTTTATTCTTAGAGATATGATATGATATGAACATATACATGAAAAGGTTGAAGTAGCTCCAATGGAAGATAAGATTAGAGAGAGTCGCCTTAGATGGTTTGGTCATATAAAACGACAGTCTTTTGATCCGGTTAGGAAAGTAGATGTATTAGATTTGACTTATATTAAGAAGGATAGAGGTAGACCTAAAAAAATATTATAAATGACCTTTTTTTTATTAGGTTTAAATGAGAATTTGACTCTTAATAGGACATAATTGGGGAAAAGGATTCATATAGCCGACCCTACATAGTGGGATAAAGGCTTGATGTTGTTGTTTATGATAGTAGATAAAATAGTTTTTTAGAGAGTCATTTGTAACCATTAGAATGAAGTAGATTGGTACAATCCTAATGAAAATACTACTAGTATTGTAACACCCCACAGTACCCCTTAACAATACATAGAGAATTACAATATAAACATAACATTTTCATAATTAAATCAATACATCATATGATACTTTTGAAACATTTGGAAGTCTTCATAAAACATCCAACTGTTATCATTCATCTCATTAAACAGAAACATCTAATAAATTAAATATTCTCACAAAGACATATTTACAGAGTCACTAAGGAAATTCAAATAAGTCCAAAGTAATGTAACATCTAACTGCTTACTAACCTCAAGAGCAGAATTCATAACTAAGATAAACATTAACATAGAATTGATTTAAATACTTGCAACTTAGTCTTCTTCCACTTTTTCTTTTCCCTTTCCTGTAACAACAGCCAGTAAGAAAATAATGGTGAGTTATGAGCTATGAGGCTCAATAAGCTATGCAAAATTAAATAATATTTAACTTGCATGACTATAAAATCTTGATCATAAAAACATAAATAAAAGTTAAACTACTAAAGACAATTTCATAAAATTTCATTTGATTTTTAACCTTTATTTTCTCTTCAATTCATACTGAATATCAATTTTACACATTGAAAGATTTGGATACTTTTTCATATACATATTCAATGGAGCCCAGGTAAACCTGACATTATCGTCATTGAATATTATAGAGGTCTCTTTTGCCCCACCTGCTATGGCAGCTATGCAGGTCTTACTTTGGGGTCCATTTTGCCCCACTTACAAGGTAGTCTCATATTTGGGAACACTTTTGTCCCAACTACACTTGTAAATCATGCATCATATGTAGTCAAACTTTAGTTTAAATCGATATTTAATATTCTTTCCATAATCATAGCTCATATTTGTTTTGATGCATGCTTCCATAATCATTTATGTTCTAATATGTACACAATTACAATTGCATCCCATAAACAAGAAAATTGATATCTTTTCAAAACAGTATCAAATAGAAAAACATTTAGATTAACATACAGAACCTTATTTTATCCTTACATGAATAAATTATGCATCCTGTCATTCATACTTGAAAATTTGAATGAAAAATCATTTCTATTTATTAAACAAGTTTAAGAACATTTCACTTTAATGTGTTCTGAATTAGCCTTCTTGATTATAATTAATTTCCTTCTCTCCCTTCTCTTCTTCCTCTAAATTGCACACCTTACTTATGAAAACAAAACTCTTTTGGTTTCTTACTCCACTACGAAACAAAGATCTTCCACAGCCACAATTCTCTCACTAAAATTGCTCTTACACACTAAGCCAAACAGCCTCATAATTCCTTTGCCACTACTCCCTGTACTTGCCAATTCCCCTCCTTGCATGTGCCGATTTTCCTCTACAAGGGCTTCTGCGAACTGCACTGAATTTCACTGAACCAAGCTACGGGAAAATCAGCATTGTTCCGCCTATTGCTACATGAACAAAACAGCGATTTCTGCTACAGGAAATATCCGAATTTTTTTGCACTCTGAGGGCCTGCGTGAAACTGCTATATGCGGTTATTCTTTCCCACTCCACGGCAATATAGAGGGCCCACTTAACACTACTCCACGTCATCTTATCTTCAAAACGACTTTTAGAAACATCTATTCAATAAAAATAATAACTAATTATTAATTATAATTAAAATTCTTAACTATTTTATCTAATAATCATAACATAACAGAATATTTTAATTAAGTTTAGAAATAACTTTTTATTCTTAATTTTATTAGTTCAAAACATACCTAATAGAACCTTACAAATCTTCTCTCCATAATGGAATTTCGTCCCGAAATTTAGCTTTTCATACATTTACAAATA